CCCTGAACCCTAAGCCCCAAACCCGAAAGGGCTTCTAACACATAAGGGTTGTTCAGAGCTGTTTTGGCGTGGGGGTTATGGGTGGGCCATTCGGCCATAGAGGGGCCAGAACTCTTCAAACCCCCCATCAGCTGTGACAAGTTTGGGCTTTTGGGTTTTCAGGGTGTTAGGGCTTGAGGGGTTTAGAGTTTCAGGGTTTTAGGGCTTTAGGGTTTTAGGGGTTCAGGGTCTTAAACCCTAAACCCTAAACCCTAGGCCCTAAACCCTAAACCCTATAACCCTAAACCCTAACCCTAAACCCTAAACCCGAAACCCCAAACCCAAAACCCTAAACAACATCCCGGCGGCCGCCTGACAGCAAGGCCCTCAGCACGCTGCCCTCTCGCCAAGGCCCCACAGACAAGTCGAAGCCGCCTCGGCAAACCCTAATTAAAAGCCTAAATACCCTAAAAATCCCTAAATACCCCTAATTCCCTACCCCGCCTAAAAAAACCCTAAAAACCGGAAAAACCCTAAAAGCCCGTAAAAAACCCTAAACAACCCTAAAAACCCTACAGCGCAAGATCCGTAAACATCACACATCCCCCCCCCCCCAAAAAAAAAAAAAAAAAAAACTCAAGCGTCCCCAAACCCTCGACACGAAACACTCCAACGGTATGCACTCATTTGGCTGAACTCAAGGGGTTTAGGGTTGAGGGTTCATGTAGGGCGCTTGAAGCCCATAGGAGGGCTTAGGGATTCAAGGTTGTGGAGACTAACCGGTTTTGGGATTCTGCTGCCCCCTCCTAAACGCTAAAAAGCCCTAAAGGCCCTCAACTCTTTTAAAGGCGACCTCCAGGCTCCCGAAAGGCTTGCATCCTAGCGGTCAAGCGCAGCGTCGCCATCCTGGCAGTCCGTGGCAGCGTCGCCATCCTGAACCAAAACGCCTGCCTGCGCGAGGGTTCCCAGAGTTCTCCAAAAGGAGAACTGGCAGAATATGCCTTAACGATGCCCTTCAGCAACTGGAACCAGCTTCTGCTTCTGCCGGCTAACTTTCTCGCCTAAGCCCTAAACCCTAAACCCTAAACCCTAAACCCTAAACCCTAAACGTCCCTTCGGCCAAGGCTCTGTGCTCATGGGCTTGGGGGGTTTAGACTTGGAGGCTGAAGGGCTGGGAGGTTTGGAGGGCTCAGGGCGAGGGACTTGGGTTTAGGGTTTTAGAGTTTGGGGTTTGGGGCTTGGGGTTTAGGGTTTAGGGTTTAGGGCTTAGGGTTTAGGGGTTTGGGTTTAGGGTTTAGGGGCCGGTGAGGATTGCTCAAAATCCCAACACTGTCAACCCTAAAATCTACGTAAGCCGTCACGACAGCCCTACCCTGAAGTTAGCAGACTTTTCTGCTATTTCATTCGAATATTATGACATAATATCGTTAGGGTTTAGGGTGTAGGGTGTAGGGTTTAGTTTAGGGTTTGAGAGGTGAATGAAAGCACGTAGCTTCTTCGGCCCCTTCACCCTCTAAGGCCCCGAAACCCGAAGTCCTCTGATCCTAGAAGCCCGACTTTTTGGGCCACACACCTCAACCCCATAAAGCCTTAGAGCCTGTGACCCGACAGCCCGAAAACCCTAAAGCCTAGAGCCCTCAAACACCCTAAACCCTAAACCCTAAACCCTAAACACTAAACCCTGAACCCTAAACCCTAAACCCTAACCCTAAACCCTAGCAACCCAAACAACTTCGGCCAGGGGCACGGAGAGCTGCGGCGGCACGCCGGCCCGGTACCTCGCTCGAGGGGGACAACTGGAGCCCAAGGCTCATAGAGGACTCAAGGAACCCTAGAAGGTTTTTCTGATCGGTTTAGGGTTGAGAATTGAGGGTTTAGGGTTGAGGGTTTAGGGTTTAGGTTTAATTTTTGAGATCCATCTCTCCTAGGTTGCCCAGTAACCTAGGATAAATAAGGATGCCACTTTTTTTGGTTAACAGGGCTTATACGGGAACCTAAGCCCCGCAAAAAGGGAATCTGGGTACTACTGGGCATCCTACTCTAAGAGGGATTACAGTACTGTATGGTACCTAAAAGCTCCGAAGCCCTACACCCTACGTAACCCGGCACCCTCTTGAGGGGTCTTATGGTTCTGGTGGGATCTAGTGACTGAAAATTGCCCCCACATTACGCCATGTACCCGAAATTCATACTGACCGGGTCACCCTAGCTTACTTATAAAGGTATGTTACTTAGTTTGTGCATGAGGCTGCTTGGGGTATGGGCCGTCTAGGCCCTTTGATGAGTTTTAGTTTTTGGAATTTTGCAGTTGCTATGGCTTAGGGCAGAGAGCTTACGCAAGGTTTACCTGGGGTCTTAAGCGCCTTCCCCTCAGCCCTCAAAACCCTCAACCCCTAGGCCCGTGGCTTGCCAGCTATCTCCCAACCCCTCCCGACGTTAGTTTCAAACTTGTTGGGTTCTGTTTGTGAAATGTTGAGACGCTAAAACACCCAAACCTCTGCATTGTTAAACCTTGCACTCCTAAGCCGGAAACCCATTAAAACCCTAAAACCCTAAAACCCCGAAACCCCGAAACCCTAAAACCCTAAACCCCTGAAGCCAGCGCGCCGCGAAAGCCACCCCCCGAAGGATGGCGGTGCTGGCTGCCCCCGGCAGGCGACGGGCCTTGGGCAACATGGGGATTTAGGGCTTACCTTGGGCTTGGGGTTTGGGGTTTAGGGTTTGGGGTTTAGGGTGGTTAAGTGTTGAGCTTTAGGGCTTTGTAGGGTCCAGGGTGTTGTGGTTGGGGTTTGGGCTTGAGTTTTCTTTGGGGTTTAGGGCTTGGGGGTTGGGGGTTCCAGGGTTTCGGGCTGCTTGGGGCCCTCCGTAGCGTCTCAAGCACCACCAGTGTCTAAGAAAGCTTCATCACAGGGCAGACAAATCTCTGCAGACCCTGACTGCCCTAAACCCGAAACCCGAAACCCTAAGCCCTAAGCCCTAAGCCCTAAGCCCTAAGCCCTAAACCCTAAACCCTAAACCCTAAACCCTAAACCCTAAACCCTCACCCACCCACCCCCCCCAACCACAAGGCCCAAAACCCTAAGCCTCCTGGCCGCCGACGGCCACAGCGGCTGGAGCTGCAACAGGGAAGGGCTGGGAGTCCCATGCACCTCCGCATGATTTGGGGGGTTTAGGGTTTAGGGTTTAGGGTTTAGGGTTTAGGGTTTGGGGTTTGGGGTTTAGGGTTTCGGGTTTCGGTTAGTTCTCGGAGTTCTATGCACCATTTGCATGATTTCGGGCTTACGTACTCATTAGGGTTTTCAAGGGCTTACTAGGGCTTGTTGGGGGTTTATCAGGGTTCATTCGGATTTATTCGAGTTTTTTGGGGTGAATTAGGGCTGATTAGGGTCTATTCGGGTTTTTATTGGGTTTATGCGGATTGATTGTTTTTTTGGGGTTTTTTGGGGTTCTTTTAGGGATAATTCTGAGCTACGGCTCCGTTTTGGGGTCGAAGGTTGCCAGGGTCAGCCCACATAGGGCCCACCGTCAGGGTTTAGGGTTTAGGGTTAGGGCTTAGGGTTTAGGGTTCAGGGTTCAGGGTTTAGGGTTCAGGGTTTAGGGTTCAGGGTTCAGGGTTAGGGTTTAGGGTTTAAGCTTCTTAGCCTCAACTCTGGCAATCTCATCTTGGGACTCGAGCCTCCTACTCTACTTCGAGGTTCAAAGGTCCCTTCTCACCCCAAGTATGAGCCTACTTGTCTCTAAGCGGAATTACTTGGTCCCTTGTATGGGCACTTCAAAGGGGACCCCTGTCACACCCCCTATACACCCTGCACAGCCCAAGCGCCCACACTTCAGAAGCCTTTAACGGACGTAAGGGACCACATTAAGGGCCAGATCTCTACCCTTAGATTGTCACCTCCTAAGGGGACTTAGGGGACTTAGGGGGCTTATAAAAACAGTTGTGCTTAGGGTCATAAGCGCCCTAAGTATAAACCCTGCAACCCCTGCACCGAAAGGTCTTATTTAAAATCCCCTAAGTTCAGGCCATTTTGGAAGCGATTCAATCATACCCTACATCCTAAACCCTAATCCTAAACCCTAAGCCCTAACCCCTAAGAGCCTGTCTTGGGGTTCAGGGTTCAGGAGACTTTGGAGGACACACAGCTTGTCTAGAGTTTAGGATGAGGGCTTATGCATGCAGCATAGGGCTTGAGGGCTTCTGAGGCCTTGTTTAGGGTGTAGGGTTTAGGGTTTAGGGTTAGGGTTTGGGGTTTAGGGTTAGGGTTTAGGGTTTAGGGTCTAGGGGCCTTAGGGCTTAAGGTTGAGGGGCTTTAGGGCTGAAGGCTGTCGCGCCTTTGCGAACTGCGGGCAGGCTGGTGCACAGATCGCCACCACATCACCTGGCGCTCATGTCGGCCCGAAGAACCCGTAAGCTTAGAAGCCTAAACCCTAAAGCCTAAAGCTTACACCCTAAAGCCTAAACCCTGAACCCTAGACCCTAAACCCTAAACCCAAAAGAACTAAAAACCCTAAGCCCCAAGCCCTAAGCCCTAAACCCTGAAAGCCCCAAGAGACTGCCCAGCCGC